TCCCCAGTGGTACAATTTAAGCAGCAAGTAGTCCAACACATGACAAAAAACATTTCTAAGCACAAAAGTATATATATAGAGTAAATGGACCACAGAAGTAATTGAAAGTTGAAATTGAAAATTGAACAGTGTAGTATTAAGGAAGGTGTTAAAGTACAAGCACATTTGTAGAGAGGACTCAGTCCAATACACATCATATTGATAAGACTTCTTTACAGTCATTGTTTGCAAGCCTGATGGCCTCTTGAACAAAGCTAAATTTCTTTTTATTTGCCTTGCACTATGGACAGTGAAAACATCTTCCTGAAGGCAAAAGTTCAAAAGGCTGATGAAAGATGTGGGAGGGGTCTTCAATGATGACACAGGCCTTTCTCAGGATCTGCTGACATAAAGCTGTGCCAGGGGTCTTAAAGGCAGCAGCCTGTGATTTAAGAGCTGAGGTTTACAACATTTTGAGTGAAGTGAACCAACAAATAAAAAGAAAAGTTAAAGTACTTTCAATAAAAGATTTATAGAATGTTGAAATAATTCTTTTTTGGACTAAAAGGAACTCAGTTTTGTTGACGTACAGTGCAACTATTAGACACTTGATATTAGTATATACATTTTTTGTCCTGGATATATCTGCAAGTTAAATATTCTCTGTTTTTTAAAGAAATATGGAGTGTTTCAGAATTGACATACAGTAAACTTGCTGAATTAACTTTAATTGAATCCATAAATCCTTTATTTTCAAGATACTGTAGTTCTTTTTTGATCACTGTGTGATCACCTAATATCTCATGTATTATTATTTGTATGACTTTAGGTACACAATCATATTGTAAAGAGCAGTTTAATTTCAATAACTTGCTTGTGTTTAATTAAAACATATGCTTTTAATTCCATCCCATGACCTTTTTTTTCTTCATGGAAGACCTGTAGACCCTCATTAAGTATATTTCTAGCCTTGCTTTGAATTCTTTTGATGCCCCCAAATGGCTCTACCATGGCAGAGTCATTAAAAATCAGATAGTCGTCTAGGAGAAGGCCCCTTGCACGCCAGGGGTTGCTATTAGCAATGGGTGCTAAGCAACAAGAAGTTTACATTTTTAAATAGCATCTGTGGATGAACAGCAATGAGGACTTGCAACACCTCTTTTGTGACTGTAATTTACAGAGGGATTCTTTGTAACATTTTCCTTTAAATTTGTGGCAATAGAAGATTATTCTTTGTCATTTTACTGTGTGGTCTATAAAATTAATACGCTGATGTGGAGAACATTTCTGTGTATTCAGAACACCGACAGAACCCTTTACTGTATGAGATGACATGTAATGACCCAATGAAGGCTGCCAAAGTTGCCTTTGTTTTTTTAATTTACAGCCATGAAGTGTTTTTTCTGTGGATGCTTCAAGTAAAACCATAATAAATCTTATAAGTAACTTCTGAACTAGAAGTTCAGAAGTTACTAGAAGTTCACTAGACTAAATTAAATGTCTTTTAAATTTATTAGCTACTCCCCTGTGGTTAAAATTATGTACTGTGTGCTGTAGTAGCCTTTCTGACAGATTTTGGGCGTCGGACTAGCATGTTCTTGTTTGCTCTTTGTTCAGAAACCTGTGATAAGTATTTTAGTGAAAAAAAGTGTTGGAAAGTAAGCTTGATTTGAGGATAAGTATACAGCTTGTATTTAGTCTGTTTGTGTTCAGACTGTAATGCTCATTAAAACAGGTCAAACTGGTGTTAGTTAGCTCTTGTTAAAATACCCGCTAGACCTTCCTGAGAATATGCTCTATGTTAACTGCATCCTGTTGGGAGAAGCAAAGCCAACAGCGTTATTTACGGTATGGTAGTGCTCCTCTTGGAAAGCAGAGCCATGATAAGTTTGTGTGTACGTGTTCTCATGTCCTTTATGCTTTCTAATAATCAGCATTTTGGAAAACACAAACTATTACTAGTTTATGTGGCAACTGAAATAATAGTTGATAAATGGTTGTTCCACAGTGCCTTTTATAACAGCGCTGTGTTTTACACAGGAAGTTCTAAACCCATGGAACAGATTACAGTTCTTGTTTCAGCGTAGCCATGGAATGATGTGATACATCACCTTGACAAAACACAGACACACCAAGCCACAGGCCCGCTGAACAGGCCTGCTGTTGGTTTCTCTCTCCTTGCAGGGAGTGGATTTACTGCTTCAGGCAGAAGCAACCAAGACTTTTGTTACACAATTTATTTAAATTTCATTCATTTGTTCATTTAAATTTATTTAGAGATATTTTGTAGGATATCAGTCCTTGAGGCAACTGGGACAGTGATGATTTATGATTTAAATTTGCAAGTCTAATTCATATATCTGTTAAATCTGTAGTAAATTCCTAGAAATTGTACTTCCTTATTTAAACTTTTCTTATTTAAACCATCTTTTGCTTACCTGCTGCAATTATGTAAGTTGAAGTAGACATGCTGATTTTAAACCTCGGATTATCTTCTCTTGATGGGGGAAGCATAGTGTCGTTACACTGACTGCATAAAGGCATCTTCACAAGAAATCAGTTGACATTTGTTTTATATGCTGCACACCTCTACCAATAACCACAGACACCTTTGAAAACACATTGAGGTTTTCATGAAGTGTAAAGTGATGAGAAAAAGCTTTTACAAGAGTAGTCTATAAAAAGTGGGCTTAGGAAATTAGAAAATTGTTATTAATTATTACTTTTGTGAGAGCACCAGTGGGTGAAGATTCTGCATTGATCTTGTCTTTTAAAGTGATTTAGGTAGAATGAGAAAGGTAGAAGGGAGAGAAGCACCTGGAAAGTTTGGCTACAGCACAATCGCTTGTATTTAAAAACTAGGGCACGGGCTAAAGGAATGTTTTTTAATTTTTAAAAATACATTAAGGGAATGAAACAGCCTAAGAGAAACAGATTATAGGAATTAGTAGAAAATACATGACTGCTCCTAAGAAACATGGTAACAGAAGCACAAAAAAAAGAGTTCTACCAAAGGTTAAATCACAGTGTAGAAGGTGGTGGCCTAAATAGCTTAATAAGAATCTAAATGAAACTGCCTTTAAGGAGATAGCACAGCTTTAGAAAAGATCAATTCTGTCTAGCTAACTATACCAAAAAGAATATTGAATTAAAACTATATAAAAAAGCAGATAATAGAGGGTACTAATAAGGGGATGTTTCCTTAAACTGGGTGAGGTCATCAGTGGGGTACAACAGGTATCAGTTCCTGGACCACTGGTTTCCTAATCGATGTCAATGATCTATCCTCTGGTATTGTGAAGAAAAATTGTCAGAATTGCAGATTTATCTACATTTATTTACTTATTTATGATACAAAAAACACTGAATATTTTACAACATTTACACACTTTCAAAGAATACACAAAAGACTAGATTAAGATTAAATGGACACAGATTCACAAGCAGAAGCAGTTGCATATGCAAATCTGTTATAATTTGTACGGTATGTCTCTGTGTAATAAAGGCATCAGTGTTTTTCTAGCACTGAAATTTCTAGGAAATGAATTACTTTTGTATTGTACGGTGTTTAGAAACTGTAGATCCTGCAGGACACTGTTCTGATATCAGTCATTCACCACTTCAGAAATCAATCCTTGTTTGTGAAGAGTATACTGGTGTAATACTGGTGTAAATTCCAAAGCATTCAGAGCTTCTTATTTAAGTACAGCATGCTGATCTCCCTTTTATGATTTTCTGCTCTCCTTTTTTCTAAAATTCTAATCCCCATTAGTTCTTGAAAAAACAAAGTACCGTAGTCTGAGAATCCTGGTCCTCCCTTCTGGGAAACCTGACTCACATGTAGGGATGAAAGAATAACCCTGAGCTTGCCAAGGCTCCTGGCTGGACACAGTATCCTTGGCATCATTTTTTTTAGTTTATTTTACAGGGAGATTTCAGTCCAAGTTGTGACTGTTTTTATCTGTGTCTCAAGTCTCTTTTTAGAAACTGAAAAGAAAATATGAATTTCATTGTACCTTATTAATTTTGGAAAAAAATCAATTTGAAAATGACAGTGTAAGAATATATGAAAATATAGTTAAACTGAAATATTAATATTACCGCATGCTGAATTTTACAATGTATGATTTTTAGAACATGTTAAAACTAAATTGATTTGCCTTGGAATACACAGATGCTTAGCTGTATTTGTTTAGATTTCAAGGCCTGTTTCAACCTTATATTATTGTGGTATTCTGTGATTGTTTCATGATTGTTTTTATTCTGTGCTTTAGTGATTAAGGCCACCTCACTGAGTCACCACTGCGAAATAACATTTTCTCAGTCAGTTAACGTGGTTAAATAAAGGGTCATTTTTTGATTGATGGCCCCGTTTTGGAAGTTTTTCTCAGTTTAGTTTGACTGACTTTGTTCTTCATCTTGCCACCCTGTGTCTCGGTTTCAGATTATGTGATGAATACTAGAAAAGAAATTGGATTTCAGCAAACAGTAGAAGTGCAGCGCAGCGGTATAAGGTGCAGGACCTGCTTGTGGACTGCTTAAGGATGATTAATTTGAATCATAAAAAACGCAAAAGATTCTCTCATGATAATGCTTAATAAAATGAGAATCATCAATATTTTGGTGAGATTTGCTGGGTACCCAGGTTACCCTTTATATGCTGTCAATTTGTATGTAGCAGCTTTGTGACACAACACTTTAGTATACTTCAGTAGATTATTGTGCATTCATATTATGGTATATCTCCAATTATTATATTCTCTTAACACATGGTAAAGTATATTTGGCTTGAATCTAGGTTGCTAGCTTGATAGTTTTTCAAATACCTTACGTTTTTTGGCTTTTGTTTTTTTTCTCATTTTTATGATTTGAAACAATTTAGTACTTCATTATTTAATAAGCTGTGAATTAGGTTTTGTACAGCTTTCTACTATGAAGAACATGTGCAGTGTGTGCTGTATCACAGGTTTAATGTGCTAATAAACAACACCTCTCATCTATTTGTGGTCCTGTTATTTCAGGGGAGCCTTCTCAGAGGTCATGCTGGCAGAAGAGAAACGGACACAGAGACTTGTCGCCATAAAGTGCATTCCCAAGAAAGCTCTGGAGGGGAAGGAGAACAGCATAGAGAATGAGATTGCAGTCCTCCACAAGTGAGTGTATGCCTGAGAGATACGGACTCTCTTCAGGGGAAACTGGAACTCCCCAAGATTTGATGCAGAGGCTGTCAGGTTTGCAGGAAAAAAATAATGTAGTAGCAACAACCATGCTATAAAATGCAAGCAGACTAGGCTGATTTTTAGTTTTGTAAGATCTCTTTTTTAGTATTTTTATGCATCTTTCTAACATTAGTGGTGTTGGGCTAATAAAATCTAATAATACTGGTTATAATAATAGTAACAGTATTTATCATGATGATTAAGTAGTATCTATCATTAAAATGTCTGGAATTATGTACCGGAAATGTCAGAACTACCGCAGATTGTTCTATTTTTAGTTGTGCTGTTGTCATGGTTACAGAGGATACATGGGCCTGGCTATTGTGTAGTTTCTCCCTACAGCTGTGTTATGTGTGAAAGGGCAAAGACAGCTGAATAGCTATTACAGCCTCTTAAAAATCAATCCATGTTTACTTTTTTTAAAAATGACCTAAGTTTTTTATAAAGATTTTAGATTCAGTTTCTCCTGAGAGAATGTGATTGCTCGTGTTGTATACTCGACTGCTTGTTCTGTTCCTGGGTTGAAGATTGTGGTGCTGCTTATTTTATTCATGAAACCATTGTACTGTGAAATTCCACCACTCACCTCTCCATTAAAAAATCTCTTTAAAGTAAAATAAAATGATCCCAACATGTTATGTATTACAGAATATTGTTCAGTAGCTAAACTCTTGGTATAGCCAGCTTGGTGCTCTCACAGTAAAACAACGCATTATAGTTCAATTTTATATTTATATTTTGCTTTTGGTTTCTTAACATCCAATCTGTAGGAAGCTATTTTGTAAAAGAGCAAGAAAACAATCTGTGGTTAATTCTGTTGATTTTCTTGTGAAACACTGAACATGATTATGATAATGATTAGAGTAGTTGCTCTGTGTATGGCAAGACTTTCTGTCTTTTCTATGAATGAACCAATTACTTAAATTTAACTTAATTGTTTTTAAAAATCTTTGCTGGAATAGTTACATATTGGTAAGTAAGGCTATATGAATTGCGCACAATGACTGCGTTACTACAGTGTTCTGTTGTAAGACATTCATTTCCAGCCAGTATGCTGCGTACTGTGTAATCTCTCCCAATCTGGGTTTGGATCAGTCTGCCCACCATTTGTGAAGGGATTATTTTCTCTGTTATTTTATTAATTGAAGAAATAATTAGATTAAAAGCCTTTAGTTCTTTCTTGAATACAGCAGTTAACTGGGACTCCTGCCATTCGTTTAAATGATTTGCTCCTTCATGACACCAGTCTGACCAACAGATGTGAAATCAATATACCGTATGCAGGAGTATTATACCCAAGATGGCTATTATCTGTTTCTTTTTTGTGAGCTCAGTAGCTCTGGCAGGGGGCCTTAGTCGCCACCCCTAAACACCACCAGCCTCATAAGCATGGAAGGGTGCAATTAATCTGCTTCAGTTTGGGGATTTACTACAGATCTTAGCTGCTGGTATCTGGACTAATATTAAGTGCCATGACAAATATGTTTGATGCAGATCTCACCTAATATAATTTTATTCCAGTGTGCTAGAACAGAGTCATTTGATGCATTGAAACAAGTTTTCCAATATAATATCAGAAGTGTGGTCTTCAGGTTTCACTGGCTAATTGTTTTCTTCATTTTGATTTGGTTCATATTGGATGAGTGAGGTGATGTATCTGTGTTTTGTTTTGTCAAATAAAGGCTGTTAAGTTTTCTTTCTGACTGGATTCATAGTGTTCACAATCATTTAGCCTTGACATGGGTCTGGAGGTACACAGGATGCTGAGAGATTAGACATCTTTGTGTTCCAAGCATAATACTCCTGTTTTCTTTTGCCACTCAATCAATAAAGTGCAATTAAAGCACTGTGAGAATCTGCATTTTTACAAACACCTGAAGTCCTGCTGTTCTTGTACTTTGTCGTCGTCTCGGGCTTCTCTGTAGACAGGATAGCCAGTATATCCTTTAACACTACTTACTGTAGTTTCTATTGAAAACATTCTTTATGTAAAAAGCATTTCCAAATCATAAGGAAAAAGTCAGCTGTAGATTACTTTTTATTGTGACAACGTTTTACACAGAATTTTTTTGGCACACTTAATTTATGTACCTGACCCCAGTGCTCATTTATTTAGAACACTCATTAGCAAATGGTAATGCCTATTGCTCTACAGTAGGTGCCACTGTGCAGCTCGTACTGGAATCGACACTTAGATATTGGCTATGGATTGCACCGAAGCTCACCAGAATTCTTTCCTGGTCATTAACATGAGTAGTTAATATATGTTCCTTCAGTTATGTTTTATGTTATGTTTTTGACCTTTAAACAATTCCTAGGTGTGTAGATAAAAAGGAGGGACTGCAATGCATTTATAAAATAGTTACACAACACTGCAACAAACCTATATCTTATGCATTTTAACACCATCATGAGACCTGGGGCAGTTACATTCAGTTAGACCTTTTCTTTATATAGTTTTTTCGTTCTGGTGCACCGCAAGGCGTTGTTACACAAGGATTTAACTGTTGGTGCAGTATTGTGGTCACTGAGCCTGTACTTTGTTTCTTCTTGTTTTCTCTTCCCCTGGTCAGGTACTTAGCAAGTGTCTTTTTGTGTCTTTTTAGGCCTGGAAACATTCCAATTTGTATTTGTTTTGTGTTTATGTGTCCCAGTTGGTGATTTGTTTAACTCCGGTTTGTTAACTATGGTTTGTATCAGTGTTCCTCAGGGCATAAGGATCAGTTGAGGACTCCTAGAGGACTTAGAGGACTCTTCTCTGGGTTCATCATATTATTAATGGATATCAGCTAAATTCAGCCCTCTACAAATTATTTGTTGATTTATTTCTGCTCATGTGCAATGTTTTATAAAACTCTGTAAGCTGGGGTTTAATGGGGAATTATGTCCCATCTTATGTAATTCTGGTCTGTAATTGAGCTCCATTTCACTGCCATATAATTGTAATAGGTTGGAATACACTTTAAAATATTAAGAGCAAGATTTTTGTGAGGGGTTGATGTTGTAAAGCCTTCTGGCATAGCTGTTCTGTAGATTGTAGGTAGGTAGGTATAATTTTAAATGGACTCAAGCAGTGAATGGAACAGGCACATTGTATGATACAATAAACATCATCATCCATGTGATTTCTGTGCTGAATCCTGAACCTACATGATATTATTATTATTATTATTATTATTATTATTATTATTATTAAGCCTTTGATATCAGTGTGCATTCCTGTACCCCCATGTCCCCTGGTACATAGAAAGAGCAACTCTTTCTAAGAAGGCTTCATCGTTCAAGTTTAATTTCATTAAACTAAGCCTGTTTCATACTTCCTATTACTCAAGAAAAGTGATACATGCTAAACAAAGTTTTTGTGTTGTGTATATTTTTCCCCAGTGCACTCCCATCCACTGATCTATCTGTGGCCTAATAGTGACACCAGCTGGCCAGAAAAGAATAAGGGTTTTAGAGTTTTAGTATTTTAAACTGAGTTTTGACACAGTTAATTACTTGAAAGGCTGAGATCATCCATTGTAAATGAATAGTTTTTTTCTAGATGTGCCACCTCTCCTTCCCTCTGCTTGAATGGTGTTTTCATTATAACCAAATTCATGTCATATATCAAACTTTTAGTAATTTCTCTTTCATCTAATTGCTTAGTAATTTATGCTTTCTATTTTTATGATTGCCTCAATGCGGTAAGATGTAAGAAGCAGTAAATCTTGTCAGAAATTTCCACCACAAGCTACATAGTTAGGGACTTAAGGGAAAACTGAATTTATGAAGGGAGACTAAATTTAAGAAGACAACAAATTTGTCTACACTGTGTTGTTGGACACATTTATAGGTTTGTACGTAATGACATTCCTGATTTCATTTTTTCAGCACGGATTTGCATAACAGAAAAATAATATCAATCACTGTTAAAAAAAAAAGTTTGGGGACATCTCACTTTTTTCCTGTAACCGAAATTGTGTGAATGTGGGCTGGAGATAATGATCCTATAACAAGTTAATTCACTTTTAAAGTCCTATTCCTGTAAGCCCTGCCTTGTTATTATATGAAACAGCCACAATTATATACAGTATTTGAAGAAGCAGGACAAAAGGAGAGTGTAGGAGTGTAACACTATTTTAACTCATTGTCGGTAATGGCAGTTTCTGTAACGGCAATACAAAAAACACATATTTGATAGCTATTTACAGAATCACAGATTTTGAATTCTGGATCTTGTTTATGATGATATGTCTTATTCCTGTAAATGTGTTAGGTGTGTGTTCCAGTGATTTTTCTTGTTTCTTTTAGAGTCCTGCTATAGCTATCAGATAGAATTTCATGTTGAGCTTGAATTCTGATGGCAGGTTTTGTTTGCCATTTTGTACTACTTTATGTGCTGGTGATAGTTGTCTTACAGGCCTTGTTACAGGCAGTGGCAGATAACAAGCTCACAGTACTTCACCTGTCATTCCTGCTCGTTTCATATCCATGACAAGTGTTTTGTATTGGGAAATACAATTTTGTGATCATTACATTTCTTTTTTGCTGTTTTTTTCTGGGGTGTCCTTTAAGAGCCAAATTATGTTGATTGAATGGAGTCTAATTTTCTGGATCCTCCAAATCAATCTATAATCCTGATGACTTAGGAACAAAACACCATATAACAATGAATTACAGATTGTATAATGTCTTGCATAAACAAATCTAAATGGTTTGTGCTGCAACTGTAATAGCATTAAAAACAACTATTTGTTATAATTGAATTCCAGACAAAAACAAAGGTCACATTTATTCACACTTCTGAGTGTTACTTATGATTACACTGAGGTTAAGTCTGTAATAACATTCTGCACTTTGGAAGTGCAATGGAAGAACTCTGGAACTGCATAGAGACCTCCAAAGGTGTCTTGTTTCCCTGGTTTATAAAGGGAGGTAATACACAAGAGAAATTTTGTACAGTACTAGCATTCATCATCATGGCTATGGTCAGAGAGTTCTTCGAAGGTAACCTTCAGAAGTTGGGAGATGGCTATGGGCTATGAGAGATGGGAGATAGCTTTCCATTGTAGGGTTCAATATTAAGACTTTTAAGACATTATATTAAAATAATGGGAAAAAGATTGAGTTAGTTTAGACATCACCTGCATGAATAAATGAGGTGACAACGAAGAAGCCTTGAATTTGCATGACCATTGGAACCATGTCTTATGATCAGATGAAAAGAAAATTCATTTTTTGGATATCCTCAATAGCATTAGCTTTGGCATACACTTATGCTGACAGTAAAATATGATTAAACTGACTGGCAAGAACAATATTCATTATATATTGAACCTTGGCTTGATGTCTTATCAACAGCAGAAAGCACATGTAACTCTTCTGATGTCATAGTGAGCCAGTGGCAGAGGCCTGATCAGAAGACCTTCCGATATCAAATTAACCCACTTGTCAACCTTGCAATCGACATTGTTGATATTTGTATTGTCCACTACAGCCACATGCAGTAAAGGAAGTAATTTCCAGTCACCGACATTTGGACCTAGAGAGTGGTATTTGGTGCAGCTTAATTTCCGTGTCTTTGGATTGTACCTTTTGAAGATTTAGGAAGCGTACTTTAAATGCCTTGTTATTAACTGTGCTCTACCTCCAGTCTTGGCTTAAGTTGTAGGTAGCTTTAGTTGTGATTAGTTTATATCTTTTCTAGGTCCTTTACATTTTTGCCTAACTTTACAGACTGTTAGTCATAATGTTAGCCAATGTCCTCTGGTATGTAGTTGCAGATTGTCCTGAGTTTGTGTCATGCCTTTACATATTACACAAAAGCTCATAGGTATTGAAGGAACAAGGACATGACTGCTGTAATTTCATGACAGCACCATTCAGCAGGAATAAGAGTGGGCGTGCGAGTCAATAATCTGAGATAAATACTGACACCTACAAAAGCAGTGACTCAACTCTGCAGTAAATTTCTACTGAAAGCCAGTTTGCTTTCAAGGAGTGTTGAGCTAAGGGGTCCAAGTGATGAAAGCAATGAAAGCTTATCAGCTTCAAAACTCATGTCTGAATTGTGATATTTTCAGGTTAGATGGGTTTGTTATACATTTAAAAAATAACAACATTTAATCAACACGTGCTCAATATGAGAGTGTTCAGCATGTTTTTCAAGTTTTTTGTAGAACTAAAAGAATTCAGAAGAATTCAAAAGTATTAAATTATTGGTGTTACCAAATGGTTCAGTTGGTCAAAGCATGTGGTTGAGCTTTATGATCCAGGTGTCTCGGGTTCCCTGATTGTAATTGGCATTCCCCAAGTGGCAGTGAACAATTATCTAAGTGCTATCAAGGGAAGGGTGGGCCAAGGTTCTCCCTGGTATCAACAACACAGTGATCCCTGTAATTGTGATGTGGTCCCTGAGGGATGCACCTCTCTTCCAATTGTCACTGAACCTCCTGTGATGTTTTAGATAGATGTAAGACAGGCAAGTGTGAAGAGTCTGACTACATTCTCATTATTCCATTCTTCCTCATTCTCCACTGTGTGCGGTCAGTGGGTTGCCACCGGCAAGCTGAGACGTGAAAAACACACTGCTGGCAATTCCTAATCAGGTGGTTATAACCAAAAATTACTGACAATTCTAAATGTATGACATTAAACAAATTGATTTAAGCTCCAGGTGGTATCAGTTTGAAAATGCATATCATGCTGGAATATCCTGTTATCTGAGGATGAAATCTCAAATGTTTTCATTTTCAAGAGTTGTTAAGTAGTACAGTATATGCGAAAATATAATGTTATTGGTCTTTTATACAGTGGATATCAAAAGTATACACACTTTTTGAAATTTCAATTTATATAAATTTGTTGATATAAAGGCTGAAAGCAAGACAAATCATGTTAGACCTTTTTTCAACTTTAATAAGATCTTCTAACCAACAATATTTAAGTGAAAAACAAATGGATAATTTTTAGGAAAAATAATTAAAAATAAAAAACTTTCAATGCCTTGGTTGCATAAGTGTGCATACCCTTTATTCATTATGATTCAGCCTTTTACATGAACAAAAGCTGAAATTTGAAATTTTGTTATCCACTATATGCCTGTTTTCAGATGATTTCACAGTATAATGTAATTCATTTCACCAGTTCTTCTGAACATCAAAAAACTTTAACATGGGTGGATTTTTGTGTCCTGTATATCATTATTGGCCATGGGAGTGTGCTCTATGTTGCCTCCCTTATATGCATGCCTGATTGTTCTGCTTCATGGGTAGTTTTCACTGAACAGATGTTTGAGTAAGCCAACAAGCTTCACAAGCATCCTGTATACAGTAGTATACTTTGTCTAGGCAGTCACTGCTTTATGTACTCCATTTAACAAAAAACAAAAAGCATGCTGGCAGTTCCTTGCTCACTTGTCAAACCTATTTCAGTGTTCTTTATAAGATGTGGCCTAATGGTGATAATGAGACAAAAGAGGCAGCCCCTGCAGGGATGTTGTCCTTGTCTCCACACAAGGTTCTGAAGCTCAGGAAGTGTCATTTGAAAGCATTTTGCCTGTAATTGCCTCCTATTGCTTGATTTGATCTTCCTGTTTGGGGGAGATTATTAGAATTGTCAGTTAGTGTATTTACCAACGGCCATGTGTTCCTAACAGCTAAGCAATCTTTGTTAGACTAAGAAAACCCTTTTCATTTTTTTAAATTATTGAATAAGAGGTTTATATAATCAATGGTCAATACCAGTATTTTATGACTTCATTGTAAATCTATACCTACTGAGCAGAAGATCTTTACAGAAGATTTAATGTAATTCAAATAATTTCAGCAAGAGCCTTTTCTTTTCTCTTTCATTTGAAAATATAAGGAATGCTGCCTATGGGTTGTTTATGTCTTTGGTGATGGTTTAATTATTCTTTCTTTCAGAATAAAACATGCAAACATTGTCACGCTCGAGGACATCTTCGAGAGCAAATCCCACCTGTACCTTGTCATGCAGTTGTAAGTGCTGCTCTTCTCTTTTGTTTTAAGCTTTTCTTAGCTAGATTGAAAGTCTGAAATCATAATGTTTTAAGATTTTTATGTGATCATATATGGGCAGTTTGTATGTTGTATAAAAACACACAATAATGACAGAGTGAGAGACAGGACCATCTGAAAATCTTGATTCACCAGGCCTTAGTAAAATGAATTAATTTCCAAGGATGCCCAATATTAGGGTAAGTGAGAGTGACACTTACAAATGTAAAATTCAAAAGAAGAATTGAAAGAGAAGATGCAAGAGACTCAAAACAGACCAGATTTTAAGAGATTAATTTATGTAAATGACACATTTTGTGTGGAATCCTCTTAGATGGAAGACTGCTGCAGAGAGGTGTAGTGAAAACTGTGGCTTTGCATCACAGATGGTATTACGTCTGTCAAGGCAGGTAGTGGAGAGAGCCAGGGAACAGTTGGCTCCCAGTTTGGTGTGGCATATAATTAGTTACACAGACTTCTGCTGATTCTTTCTACCCACTAAAGGAAACAATAGCATGATTGTGTTTGGAGAGTCCTCCTGATGCCCTTGTGCTTTGTCAGAGTCCTTTCTTTGTTTAGCCTTTCACGAAAGACGGGAGTAGTAGTACGAAAGAAGGGCCACAAGGGGTGCTGTCAAGTGCACATTTCTCATGTATTGCCTTGTGGTATGAGTGTAACAGTGGACAATTTTTCTCTTCTATGCCACCACTGGTGTTGGTGCTTTTAGAGATGCTATTGTATTTCTCCCCTGTTTTAGATCTCCTTAATGAGTGGTGAAGTGTTTATAAGCAATTTTCATTAAGATCCAAGGGTTATATCTTTTGGAGTTTGCTATATTTTCTGTTAAAAATGCAATATTTGTTCTTCCAGGTCCCTGGAAGATTACTTATCTTTACTGATTTCCCATTGCATAAAAAATAGAAGTATTGAAAACATTACACTATGCAGAGATCAAGAATCACAATCAACAGTATCACAAAATCTTTACCATTTTAAGATAATTACTGCAATTTAAGAATAAATAGTTTAAGTGAAACTAATTTGCACTGACTTCTTATACAGTTTATATTTTCTATTTCAGTCTGTTTTGCAGTTTTACAATGCTAGATATATCAAAGTTACATAAAAGTTAATTAAGATGAATACATTAATTAAGATTAATTCAGACTGAAGGTAGATCAAAGAAAGGTAGATCTTTGGTAATCATATTTCCTTTTTCAGCTGCCTTTGTCAGCAACCTGTAGTATTATTGTCATATTTGCATACATAATGGAAAAAAAGCATTTTGTGGTATCACCAGTTCCATTTCTGATTTGTCAGGCAGTGGCAGGCAGTATTGACAAAGAAAATCTTCAAAAGATATGATTCTAATTAGGAACATTAGAAAGCTTCTGATGGCACAGGTGCTACAAAACCATTTTCCTGCCTCACAGAGATCCAGAATCCCAGATTGACGATGATGTTTGTGGGCAGTGAGCCACAAATCTGCATTCAGCTGACAGCCAGAATAAGAATTAATGTTTGGTGTTTTACTGTACTGAGATTTAAAGAGCCTCTGGGGAGAGTGTTCGAACGAGTCCATGAATTAATTACTGATTGTCTCTGCAGCTCTGTCCACTTAATTATCCTTCCTTCAGCAATAATATTTCCCTGGAATCAAAGCAGTCTCTCTCCCTGGAGCGGGGGGCTGTGCTGAGCCACCACACTGCCTGTTAGCAGAGTTTAGAATAGGGGTGGGGATGACACTCTTTTTAAATCTAGCAATCTGCTATTTTTCCTGCAGAAGAGAGCATGTCACCAGCTGTAGGCAATTTATATATATTATACCTGTGTAGATAATGTGAAGATGAGAAATTTGTGGGAGGCAGTCTGACCACTTTGTCCAATACAGAGTCATGGCAATCTTCAGGTCTTAGAATTGAAAGTAGTAGATTTTCCATGATTTGATATGCTTTTAAGAGTGCAAAAGTATTTAAAATCAAGTGTAAAAGTAACTAAAAATGTGGACTCTGCAAAAAGGTTTTAGACACAGTCAGAGGAGTTACAATATACAGTATGTACTGTCTGTTGCAAGCATCAAGAGTTTACTCAAAGCATCCAGTTATCTTTTCTACAATTATTTCAACTTTGGCAGTTATTAATGCAGCTTATTTTGAGTAAGAAGAAACCAACCTTGTCATTTAGCAAAAATCGCAAATTTGTGTTTATTTTCAAAACATGGACAACAACAACTTAGTATCAACTAGACATGACCAGCCATAATGAAGTTTAGTAGCTATCTTAATACAAAATAACTACAGTTTCCATAGCAGATTGCCAGAAAATGTTTCTGCATATACAGTAGAGGAAAGGAGTTCAAATCAAGCAAAAAGACTTTTGCATACAAGTGAATAAGCCATTAATTTAAAAGTGCAAAAAAAGATAATAATACACTACTGTATATGTTTAATATGCCACTATAAATCATTATACTTTTCATTAAAATCAATTTTCAAAATTTAAGGCAGCAAAATGCTAAGTAAAGCAAATGAAGAATTTAACTCTGCCTTCATATTATTCTCAGTTTGTACAACTTGGACACCTTCCCTAATGCCCTGAATATCTGTCAGCTGGCTAGACACATTAGGGATTAGGGCACATTAGGGCAGAGAGCATCATTAGCACAAAAAGCAGGAGGTGTGTAAATTTATCTATGAAGGGGAATCTGACATCCTGCCTCTAGACTGATGATTCTACAGGGATGTTCACTTTTAGATGGCACTGCTTACAACAGACTTGATTCAAAATGTTCATTGACCAGAGTATGGATGTATAGTGGTTATTGTTCAACCTGTTTCTTTCTCCCCAATATTAATTTAGGTAAAACTCTGTGTGTTAGTCATGATCTACTGCATCCTCTTTCACACACCTGCTGATTTTTTGTTTAGCTGTTTGGGATTTGGGGGGATAGTGCAGGGCCCACTGCTGACAGTTTGCCTACAATTTCACTGCAGGGATTTGTGTCCTCCAGAATAGAACGGCCCCACTTACTGTTTTTTGATCTGTACAGAGTCTCTGGAGGGGAGCTCTTTGACAGGATTGTGGAGAAAGGTTTCTACACTGAAAAGGATGCCAGCAAACTGATTCGACAGATCCTGGATGCTGTCAAGTACCTGCATGATATGGGTATCGTGCATAGGGACCTGAAGGTAGGTTGACTTTTCGTTTTCTCAGCAGTTCAGCACTACATTGATGCGTTTAAAACTTACCTCACTGATCGCTGTCACTTTGTCTCTCTCAATGGGTACAGGTCTGAAATTGGTCTTGGTCTTGTTAATTTTTCATGAATTAGATTCCAAGACAAGGCAAAAGTACAGTTCAATTAAGTGTACATTTTCTGAAAGTCAGGTAATATCTGATCTTTGTTTCTTTCCTTTTTCTACATTTGTACTCTTTAAAGGATCCAGGGCTATTTGTTTACTTTTGCTGGCTGTTGGAAGCACATCTAAATTAAGCCCATTAGTTTCCTCTTGTAAAAAAGCTAATTTAATTACATGCAGTGCATTGCAGTGTAAACAAACGGATCCTTGGTTGAATTACTAATTAATTCCTTCTAAGATTGTATGCACAAAGTGGAGTGTTAATCAGTACTGGAATACTTAATTTTTATTCCACTGTACAGTACTTTGCCTAGAAATGTCTCTTTAAGGATTTAAGTAAGCAGTCATTTAGCTTTAGCTGTGTAGTATGTGGCAGGGTAGCATGGTTCCAGACGCCCACCAACCTCCTGTTCTCGGTTTATGTTGCTGATTAGATGTGCAAGCTGAAATTCAGTGGTATAATATGCTCTGTATTCTCCAATACATATGTTGATCCCGATGTGTACAAGGAGAATGTTATCAATAAATCTTTAGTAGGATCTTTGATGTCCTGTGCCATTGTTTTTTGGGTGAAAAGAATAAAGATTGTGTGGATTAACATACAGAAATGTGTATTTATATATACACATATAAGTCAATAAGTAAAGTGAATTGGTACAGTACACAATACTCCTCACAGGTGGGATATTCCATTATTGGCCCCCTCTGCATTGCATGCTGTAATTTTCTCACTGCTTAATAGGGCTAGGTAGCCTTTTCTGCATTGCCTTTTGGTCCTCAGTGTCATCCATGAATTTCCAACCTTTGACGGTTTCTTGGATCACAAAGGTCAAAATCAGGCGTGTGCCCCAGACAGTAAGATGTGAAAATACATAGCCACACAAACAAAGCATAATCCCTTGAGGAGCTCAGTTTTGAATGTTATTCCCCCACACCATCACTACTACCACCATGGTTTTTGAATGAGTCACGTTCCCTTGGATTTCCATTTCCTCGTCTCAATGAATATGTTCAAATACCATGTTTGTAAGGTGTATTTTTTTACCTTCTCAGCCAGAGAACCTGTTGTACTACAGCATGGAAGAAGACTCAAAGATCATGATCAGTGACTTTGGACTGTCCAAGATTGAGGGCTCTGGCAGTGTGATGTCTACAGCCTGTGGAACTCCAGGATATGTAGGTAGGGTGATGTTGTTTATTGATTTTATATCTCTCCTTCCATTTTAAAGTTTCATGTCCTGTTGATTTTCAGAGTGGCTTCTAAAATAGGGAGTAAACGTTTGCTTCTGGGATTGAAGCTACATTTGGCTTGGCCAACTAATACCTCCCAGCCAAATTGCAAATCATCAGTACTGCTTTAGAAAGTTACTTCTTCTACTTGACAGCAACCCTACTACTGATGTCCACCAGTGGATCCAAGTATTGCCAAGTTGTGACAGGTACCATCCTTCTTGAGGCCACAGCCTTTTATAGCCTTCTTTAGGAAGACTGGGGTCCTCTTTATGGTCAACTCAGACTCAATGTCCCCTACTGCAATGTAAGAGTTCTTTCACAGGTGAGATGTGAAACTTTATCCCATAGGGTCATATGTCAGATTTTTGTAGGTGACCGCCAACTGATCATTTGGGCCTCCTTGTCTGTTGGGGTCCTGTACTTCAGATCCAACATATCACCTGTTCTGTCCCTTTCTTCATTGAATGATTATGAGTGATTATGAGTTTGATCATTGATCTTCAGGCACTTTGTTATAAGTTACATCTACAAGCAACCTTGTGTTAAAACATGTTAATCCATGTTTGGCAATCCATAAATAGCACAATGGTCCAATATCTCACCACTGTGGGTCAAATTACAGTGGCCATTCTTTCCTGTTACCACCATTTAGGATTCGACTGACTATATAGTCGGTACCTTTCTACCTCTTTCACCCGTTGTTTTCTAACCAGATGTTCCCAGGTGACCAGCACCTGACCATTTTGGCCTAATTTGCCTTGTACTAATGTACCTCTGTGCTTATTGTTGCTCTGGCTAAATTAAATACCTACAGTACATGTAAGTAGAAAAAATAGTAGATTGTTTCTCAAGTGCAGCTAATTTATAACTCATCTGAAAGTGTTATGATTTTATTGTTACAAGGTTAAAGTTGACATGAGATTTTGAAACAGAAATAATTGGAAAATACCTTGTAATTGTTGTTTTACAGCTCCAGAAGTCCTGGCACAAAAACCCTACAGCAAAGCAGTAGACTGCTGGTCCATCGGAGTCATTGCATACATTCTGTAAGTAAAATGACAAGCATGTAACTGTCACTTTGTCTCAGTCATTTCTGTTACTCTAGGATTTTATACCAGTCCCTTGCCTTACAATAATACAGATCTTCTAAATTTCATTTGTATAAGGAAAGTACAAAATACTTATCAACTGGAAGAATAATTGGGGAAAAGTGGACCTTCTCCAGCATTTATAACAGGACTCATGCACTGAGCCAGTTACACAGTGACGTCATCCTCTCTGAAAGCTGAAGAGCGTGAAACTTTGTCATGGCAGAGGACTGGTCTTGGCTTGGCCCAGTTATCCACTGTTCAGGGAGTGGCGCTTTGTGGCTCAGAGCCTGGAAATGCTGAAAAAGGCATAGAGAACTGCAGTTGTGCGTCACTGAAAACACACTCAGAAATAAACCTGGTACATTTAGCTTTTTCAACACCCAAGGATCTCAGGGAAATAGCACCATCTAAAACAAAAGCTATATAAAGACAAAGGCACGGCTATATAAAGCAAATCTATCTATCTAAAAGTACTTTGAACAAAAAATCTGGTTAGATTTATTTTTAAAGAATGTACACTTGCTAATAAGAATTGATATTTTTATTATACCCCACCATAACTGTATTATACTGCAATAGCCAGTTGCATGATTTTCACATCTTGGCTCAGACAAGGTAGAACAAAGATGACTCCTCCAAGCAACCCATCATTCAGCCAAATGTTACAAGTAGCACAGCCCAGTAACGGCAGATCAGATTGGAAGATTTGCACCAGCAGTACTGAATGCTTGCAAGCACATGGAAGGGCACACTTGATGCTGAAAGCCATGGCCTTTTAATCCCACATGACCCCCTTGCAGAATACTGGTCAAAGCTGTTATTTATTAAGATGGAACCCAAGAATAAAAAACTAATTGAATATCTGAAATATTTTAACTGTCACATATTTTTAATATCCATATCAAAATCTGTTTCATAATGATATTTTTATCCCGTACAGCTTATGTGGGTATCCTCCATTTTATGATGAAAATGATGCAAAGTTGTTTGAGCAGATCCTCAAAGCAGAGTATGAGTTTGATTCTCCGTACTGGGACGATATCTCTGACTCAGGTAAGTCACCACGAGGCACTTCTCCAGTATAAAAGAAGTAGAGGGGCCACAGTACAAATGAAGACCTTCTATAGTTTGTATATTTTACTTGACACAAGGAGTTCAATGAGGAAATTTTCTTTATCTTGAGTTAGTTGAATTTAGAAGGATTTGCTCAGACAGCAAAAATTGTTTTAAGGTGACACCTAGTGACATGTTGTGGTAATCGCCATTCATCAGTATACTCCAGGCTGCATAGAAAGAAGCGACAGTCCTATGCGAGTGAAATGTGAAACTCAGAACTGTGCGATGTGCTGTATTTATGGGCATATGTTTTGTTTGCAGCCAAAGACTTCATTGTTCACCTGATGGAGAAGGACCCCAGGAAGCGATACACCTGTGAGCAGGCATTGCAGCACCCCTGGTATGTGAAATTTCTGTCACACTTTCACATGTCCACTTACTGGACATTCAAACAAGAATCAATGTTTTTTCAGGAAAAAAAGGAGAATCATGAGCCTTTTAAAGTAACAAAACCACCATAAATTTTAGACCCTATACTTGATTTTGAGATTCCACTGAGTAAAAACAAGAAGTTTCTGTCAAAAAAAGTGATCACCATGTAATGGTTTTTGTAGCTACATCTGATAATGCATTTATAAGCATTTACTGTGGTTCACCATTGTAAAGGTGCTGTGAAGTGTTTTAAGGACACATTAGCCAAAATGTGTTAATGATAAGATTTAGCAAATTAAGAACAGAGTCACAGCAATTCTTCTATGTTTACTGTAGTTTGTCAATGATTAGTTAAACAGTTGATTGCATCTGTTGCTAAATTAGAGTAAACTGAGTGTCACTCTGTGGAGAAGGTGAAACTAAGTCTCTTCTATTGTTGTCATTTGTAGGATTGCTGGGGACACAGCTCTGGACAAGAATATCCATGAATCTGTCAGTGCACAGATCAAAAAGAACTTTGCCAAAAGTAAATGGAAGGTGAGCTTTTTTGTTCTTAATGACAGCAGTGACAGTAAATATTGTACCTCCTTGGAAGCATTTTTGGTTGGAGGTGTGCACTACAACTTACACAGGCTTATGAAGAATTTTTCTCATTAGGGTTTTGCAGGAGCCAGTAGATCATGGAGAGGTTAGCTTGCAATATGATGAAGGAGGACTTAGCCCCAAGCAATAGTATACCTTTACAGTATGGGTGTAGCCCAAGGAGACTATCAAGTGTAAGAAAAAAAGGACTGTTTTTTGGCTTGACTTAAAACATTGTGTTTTTTCATACAGTGGTGTGAAAAAGTGTTCCTGATTTCTTGTTTTTTTGCATGTTTGTCACACTGAAATGTTTCAGACCATCAAACAAATTGAAATATTAGACAAAGATAACACAAGTAAACACAAAATGCAGTTTTTAAATCAAGGTTTTTATTATTAAGGGAAAAAAAATCCAAACCTACATGGCCCTGTGTGAAAAAGTGATTGCCCCCCCTGTTAAAACATAAATCAACTGTGGTTTATCACGTCTTTGGAAAGCTAAGTTCAATTTATCTAGCCACACCCAGGCCTGATTACTGCCATACCTGTTCTCAATCAAGAAATCACTTAAATAGGACCTGCCTGACAAAGTGAAGTAGACCAAAAGATCCTCAAAAGCTAGACATCATGCTGCG